AGTTCAATCCCTGGTACCAAACAAACAAACAAACAAACAAACAAAAAACCCCAAAATACATTAGGTTATTTATTTGAGCTCTCTCCTTTTTTCTGATGTGGAAATTCACTGCTATAAACTTCCCTGGTAGGACTGCTTTCATTATGTCCCACAAGTTCCAGTATGTTGTATCAGGATTATAATTTAATTGTAGAAACTAATTTCTTCTTTAATTTCATCTGTGACCCATTGGTTGTTCAAGAGGGTGTTAATTTCCACGTGTTCATGTAGTTTTTGTGATTTCTTTTGCCATTGATTTCTAATTTCATTGCACTATGATGTGGTAATATGCATGGGATAACTTCAGTTCCTTTGCATTTACTTAAGCATGTTCTGTGAGGTAGTATGTGCTCTATTTTGAGAAAGACCCATGTGCTGCTGAGAAGAATGCATATTCTGATGTTGTGGGGCAGAACACTCTGTAGATATCTTCTAGGTCCATTTGTTCAAAAGTTTGGTTCAGCTCTGATATTTCTCTGTTGATTTTTGTTTTTGAGACAGGGTCTCACTGTGTAGTTCAGGCTGGCCTTGACCTCATGACCATCCTCCTGCCTCAGCCTTCTGAGTGCTGGGATTACAGGAGTGTACCACCTCGCCCTGCTTCTTTGTTGTTTTTTTTTGTCTAGCTGATCTGTCTATTTGTGACAGTGGCTGTTAAGTTTCCCTCATTACAATTGTATTAGTGTTTATCTGATTTTTAATATCTATTAGTGTTTGTTTTATGTAGTTGGGTGTGCCAGTGTTTGGTATATATTTATGATTGTTATCTCTCCATCTTGTATTGTTCCCTTAACAAGTATGCAGTGATAGAACAGTTTACTTAAACTAGAAATAGGCCTATGAGCACATAGTACTTAGCAACCATATGTCTGTTGGAGCCTCTTGGCCACTGTCCTATCCAAGTGGTCATTAAAATAACAAAATGAGAAGGAAAGAAATGTTTTCTAGATAGGCAGGAGCAGAGTTGTCACAGTGGGCATCCATCTCCTTGCTGTCACCTTGCTCCTTATATCCTTGGACTTCATTGTCCACCAGGTTCCTGTTAACTCTGACCTCAGGCTCCTGGTCACCTGACAAAGCTTGGACATCTTGACTCTACCTTGGGCCCAGTGCCTCCCAGCCATCTGCTATCCTCCTCTGCCTCACTTGCCTGTTTGTAAAAATCTTGCCTTTACTGCTCACCGGCATTGGCATGGCAAGTTTGATTTCCGAGAGCCTCTCTGCTCCCGAGGTAATGAGGTGATATAGCTCCTGCTTGGCAGGGCTGTGGGAGGACTAACTGGGACTCTCCCGGGGGACTTGGCACACAGAAGGATCCAAGGAATGGTGATGATTAGGCAGAAAACCAGTATCAACCATCTGTTCTCATGGTGACAAATTCGACTCAGCTCATTCATTACAGCTCGAGATACATTGGCTTCTCATGATTCAAAAGGCTTTGTGGGCTGGGGATTTAGCTCAGTGGTTCCACCGTCTGCCTTGAAAGTGCAAGGTTCTGAGTTCCATCCCTGGTACCAAAAAAAGAAAAAAAAAGGCTTTGTGACTTTAATCTTAAGAACACAGGAGCTGAGCCCAGAAAGGGTGTTGGGAAGAGTTCCATTATGAGACATTATGTTATGCATTGTGTGCGCGGGGCAGGGACAAGGGTTTTATGAACACTTTTCTACTGGGTATTTGTGTGGAAGGGGAGCAGGGGTTGTGTCTGGGAAGCACTTTGCATTCTTTTCCTGGTCCTGACCCAGTGGCTGTCATCCCAGCCTCCGATTGCCTTGTCCACAGGTGTGTTTGCCTTGGAAGCACAGGTGTTTGTCGGGTGTCTTTATAAAACCCAAGAGCAGAGACAACAACTGAGTCATTCAGCAGTCTGGATCCTCAGGACTGTAAGTCATCCAAGTCACCCAGCTATTACCAAGGTTTAGGGAGCTGCTGCTCAAGACAGCCATTTCTTTTCTTGTTACTTCTTTTCCTTTGGTTCCTTTTTTTCTTGATTATAAAAATAGTAATTGGGGCCAGGGATTTAGCTCAGTGGTTCCGGTGCCTGCCACGAAAGCGCAAGGACCTGAGTTCGATCCCCAGTACCCAAAACAAAAACAAAAACAAAAACAAAATAGTATTCCAAGGTGGTAACAGCATCATAGGGAAAAAAATAGTAACTGGCATCTATTCCAAAGGTGTTAAATAGTTGAAAATATACAAAGAAGAAAAATCACCCATAATCTTTAGTACAGAAGTAACCACCTTGAAAACTTTGGAGTCTTTTATTTGCTTTCTGATTATGATTATGACTATGACTATTAGGGTTTTGTGTGAATCTGGTACTGGCAATGGAACCCAGGGTCTTGTATACGCTAAGCTTGGGCTGCACTGTGAACCACACCCCTAGCCCAACTTGTGCTTATTTTAACGTAACTAGGAGCATTTTGTCCATATCATGTGATTTGATTTTTTTTGGTACTGGGGCTCAAACTCAGGACTTTGCACTTGCCAGGCAGACATGGCACCACTGAGCTACATCCCCGGCCCTGTTTTGATTTTTTTATTTAACCTTCTATCATAAACATTTCTCTGTGTCAAAATAATGTTTACATGTTAAATAGCTCACTCTGTAATGATACCATTATATACCTAGTTTTGCTTTGGACCTTTGTTGCCAGTTTTCTACTTTATAAATATGATGCCTTTTTAAATAACAATATATTTATACCACAAAGAAGAAAAAAATTTCACTTGCCAATACGGAAACTTATTTACTAGGATGATTTCTTAGATTTATAGTAACAGGATTGGGGATTTAGCTCAGTGGTGCTGCCGCCTGCCTCAAAAGCGCAAGGTCCTGAGTTGAATCCTTGGTACAAAAAAAAAAGAAAAAGAAAAAGATTTATAGTAACAAAGATTGTTAGTAAATATTTCCAGACTTTTTCCAGAAATGTTGTATGAATTTTAAGACTACCTATAGTATATGAGAATGTCTCTTTTACCTTAAAACATTTTTTTTTTTAAACTCGGATATTCACTTTCAAAAATTTTCTCTCTTTCAGAGCTAGGAATCAGACCCAGGGCCTGGCATGCTAGGCAAATGATCTACCATTGAGAATTCCCAGCCATTAAATTGTCTTTTTCTTATTGGTAGGCAAAATATGTTATTGTATTTTCTTTTTTAAGAACAAATAAAATTACATTATTTGGGATTTATTTTATTTTATTTTTTGGCTTTTTGAGACAGGGTCTCACTTTATAGTTCAGGTTGGCCCTGAACTCACTATATAGTCCAGGCTAGCCTGGCACTCGAGGCGCTCCTCCTGCCTCTGCCTCCTGAGTGCTGGGATCACAGGCCTGCGCCACCATGGCTGGCTTGGAGTTAACTTTAAGAAAAAAAAATATATTAATGGAATCTTGAAAATGTGCTTCCTATTTTTAAAAATATACTCTTACACAATTATTAGTGATTGACCACTTTATTATTTTTTTTTCCTTTTTTTTGAGACAGGGTCTCACTCTAATTCAAGCTGGCCTTGAACTCATGGCAGTCCTCCTGCCTCTGCTTCCCAAAAGCTGGGATTACAGGGATGCACCACTTTAAACTGTTCTTGCATCTTCTTTTTGGCAAATTTTCTTTTAAAGTATTTTGTCCTTCTTTCTTGTGTGGCATTTATTGTTTCTATTACTGAGGTCTGATTTTTAAAAAATACTATATTAACCTTTTGACCTATATCTTGTCTGAGTAAACAGTCTATTTTTTCCATTACTGCTAGTTTCCTTTGGGATCTGTCTCCCACAAATTTATCTAAATTCTTTTGACACCTCTATAGGATTTTTATGTCCTTCCAGGTTCTAGAAGTTCCCCCTTGTGCTGATTTTCAGAGTTGGGCAAACAATTTCGCAGCCATGTTTAATTCTCTTTCCCCTCAGCCTCCTGTTCTCAGCCTGAGCCATGCAGGCCCTCAGTTGGTTTTCTGAGGGAATATTTCATCCTTAACTCTATCTGCAGAGGTAACACATGAAATGCTTGCTGTTTATGGGATGGGCTCTCAAGAGGAAGGTGCGTACACACTGAACATATTTAAGTGGTGTTGACATTTGTGAGTACAGGAGACGAAATCAGAGATCAGGTATTTGTCGACTGTGCCTCCACGTGGTATGGTGCAAGAATTATCCCTGGCTGTGCACTCGAGTGGCTGCCCATCCTTCCAGAGGACCAGGCCACACAGCCCCTGGACCTTGGTTTCCACATCAGGACAGCGGGTGAAGGATGGTGTTTACCTCCCAGAATGTCCGTGAGGCTTCCATGGGGTCTCAGGGCCCACCTCACAGGCATGGGGTGAATTTGGCCACACCTTTTAACACTTTAAATTCGTGCAGGCCAAGGAGCACAGTGAGTGCGGGCTCTCTCCGTGAACTTGGCCTTGTACACGGAGAGCCATGCCTTTCCCTTCCAACCTGGTCAGTTCCTCGACAGTTCTGTCTGGCCACTGCTGTTCCTTTGGGACCTTAGGTTGCAGTAGTGCCTCAGTGTCATGGCCTTTGCCCAGGCCACCGTGCTCCTTCCAGTCCTCTCCTTACAGTGGTGGTGCCCAGGCCTGGGCCAGCAAGGTTACTTCCTTCAGGTGCCACCCACCGTGTCCTGTGCCACCCTGTGCCTTCTGTGTTGGGTGATGAGGTCCAGAGAAAGCTCTCATCAATCAGGACCCCTCTCTTTCTTGGAGACTAACAGGACCTAGATGTGCTCCTGATGGCAGACTTCAGCTGGAATCATCCTATTCATTTGAGAATTTTTGGGTTTTTTGGTTCTAGGGATTGAACCCAGGGCCTTGCACATACTAGCACACACACTACCCCTGAGCTACACCCCAGCCTTTTAATTTTATTTTGAGACAGATCTCACTAAATTGCACAGGCTGGCCTCTAACTTGTTATCCTAATGACTCGAGTACCTGGGATCACAGGTGCCCATAGCAGCTTTATTTGAGAATTTTTGGTAACACTAAATTTCAAAAGGGAAAGTGACCAAGGTCACCTGACCACAGAGGCTCCTTAAAGCCTCTACGAATATTTAGCCCCTATCCCCAGCTATCAACACTGATCACTCAGCAAATCACAAAAATTCCTGTTACATCACCCTCACCAGGAATGAGGGTGCTTACTAAACTTGAATTTGTGTAAGGAGGAAGGGCCATTAGGTGACTCATAGGGGATAAAAAGGTCTGCTATGGGACTTTCTGGCATTACCAGACAGGAGTATCTCATACCTTCTCTTACTAAACAAGTACATAAAAAATAAGCCTCTGGGTTCATCAGATACAATCTCACACACGGGTAAAGCACCTGGCTCTCTGCCTCACTCAAGCTGGGAACACAGACCTGTCTGCCTCCAGCTCCGTCCTCGAGGCTTCCTCTCCAGCCAACCACTGAGAGCCGCCAGGCAGAGCTGCTTTCAGAGGGTTTCCCTGGGGTGGTTTGTCCTTTCCTCAAGTAGTTAGAATGTATTTACAGTTAAATCCAGCTGGCATTTGTATGCAGCTAAGGTGCCCTGTGCCTTTGGACATGGAAGAGAATTTTCTAATCCAAGACCAGACACTGCAGCATGCATTCTCTTGGGATAGGCTCAGCATCGGATAAAGTGTCCCTCATCCCACAAATACAAGGCTGGCTGTAGGAAAGAGCGTGGCTCCTGCTGTTTGGAAGTTTATTTCAGGGATGGCTATTGTCCTTGTCTGATTTCTGTCACCAGATGGCAGCGCAGTCAGGGCCCCATGGCGGTGCATTTGGAGCCTGCTTGGCCTCAGGTTTCAGACTAGGCAGGGTTCCTAGACCTCCAGGTGGCCTGGGGGTCTCCCAAAGAAAGCCACAGCTCTCAGTAGTTATTTTAGCTTCTTTTCACCATCTTCTCCTTGCAGGTGTTTAGTTGTTGACTACAGACACAAATTCTCATGCAGCAGAAAGAAGAGGCACCCAAGCCAGTTGTGAAGGTCCCTTGAAATGATTTCAGTCCCTCCTGACGTTTCCTTAAGCAGCCTCCTTTTGCTTTAATTTTTTCCACAGCAACACTTAGCTCATGCTAGGAGGCGTGGCTTTGGCAGAGCTGCCTTGTTTTTTCCGGAGTTAGCTATTCTCTCCACATTACCATGCATCCTGGCTCTTAAAATCCTACTGAGTTTGGAGAAATTATGTCTTGGCACCCAACCTACTTTCCTGGAACACGGTGTGGGGATGACGACAGAGCTGGCAGCTCCACTTAACAATGACATTGCTGTCTTGTTTCTCCTGAGTGTTCACTTGTGAGTAACAGCAGAAGCGGAAAGCCTTGCTGAGCACAGCTTATTGTATGTTTAGGCCTCTGCTCACCGCTTTTATGATGGCACCAGTGAATACATTGATCAGAGTAGGATGAGTCATCTCTTCAGCCAATCGTGACTGGAACTTTTCTCCACGGCTGACTTGGCACTAATCCGAAGTGTGGCAGGATAGACCTGCCCAGCGTTGTCGCCTTCTCACTGGGATGCTGTGTGGAGGAGATGACAGCCAACTACTCCGGCAGCTCTGCCTGCCCTGCCAACAGCTCAGAGGAGGCGCTGCCTGGAACACCAGAGGTGCATGGGAGCCTGGAACTGGTCTTCACCGTGGTGTCTGCTGTGATGATGGCCATGGTCATGTTCTCTCTGGGGTGCTCCGTGGACATGCAGAAGCTCTGGTGGCATCTCAGGAGACCCTGGGGTGTTGCCGTGGGACTGGTCTGCCAGTTTGGGCTTATGCCGCTGACAGCCTATCTCCTGGCCATCAGCTTCTCTCTGAAGCCAGTCCAAGCGGTCGCTGTCCTCATCATGGGGTGCTGCCCTGGGGGGACCATCTCTAACATCTTTACCTTCTGGGTGGATGGAGATATGGATCTCAGGTGAGTTCCAGGAGGGAGCCTCAGTGGTCCTTCCCTGAATATCCTTCCTGTTGCTTGGTAGATTACAGTAGGGAACACTGCAAATGTGTGACAAAAATGTTTCTGAGCTCCAAGTTGGCATTGCTGTGACCTCCCTTCATTTTACTGGTAGCTACTGTTCCAGGGAGTGGGATTTGGTTCCATGTAACATTGGAGGCATTCTCCCTCAACATGGACTCACTGACTCCCACTCCCTGCCATCTTGAACAGTTTCCCAGGACATCGCACAGGAATCCCAGGAAGCTAATGATATAGTGGCTTGGTTGCAGTGGCTTGTTGCTGGGGGTGGTGGTGACAGGTGGCCCAATAGAATAAAGCCCTCATAGGTCTAATAAGTAAGTGTTTCTTGAGCACCTACATGTGAAATAACATTTTTGGGGACTGTGTAAAGGAGTTTTAGGGGGTACCTGGGAGATCTACTTTGGTGTCAGTAGTGAGCTGCTAATTTGACTTAGGGAGGGGCCAGGGATTTAGCTCAGAGGTTTTGCCGCCTGCTGCACAAGCGCAAGGACCCGAGTTCGATCCCTGGTACCAAAATAATAATAATAATAATTTGACTTAGGGAGCAGCATGAGGTTATGTGGTTGAAGTTGTTCTTTCTTGTTGTTTTGCAGATTCTTAATATTGGTCACTGGTGTAGATAAATACCCCTGAGAGACATTAGTTTTACCATTTATTCACATTTTTAAAATGACAAATTAATCCTTACTTTTAGGAATAAATGTTTTGGTGGGGAAAACATTTGAGGAAGAAATAGAAGGGTCATGTTGGAAAAAAGAGCTAAAAACAATGGTCTTTCTAGATTCTTTGTTTACTTATAAGTACACTCTTTTATATCCTGCCCAGGGAAATAATTGTGTTAATTGAAGCTTTTGCACTGTGTGTATGTGATTTAGTTGAGATTTACTGTACAGTGAATGAATGAATCAGAGGTGAGACCTGGGCTAGGAGTTGGTATCAGTGAGTCAGCTGTGGGCCTGAGTTTCAGGCTTCCTGTATGTGCTGAATGATCAGTGTACGCCACATACTTCTTCCATGGGTTCATCCACTCAGGCTAGCAGTTAACCTTTATGTGGCTATTATTTACCCACTTATGAGAGGTGTGAAAAAAACTGATGAATTCCATGCCTTACTCCTTAGGTATTAATATGCCACTAACTTAAATTCAATAAAGTTGATCATTAGCATAACTGGGAAATGATAAATATTGTGCAAGAAGCTCAGATATCAGAAATTGCAGAACTTGAAACTTTTTGGAAAGAAAAGGAAAACTAACATTAGTTACATCCCCTGATAGGTACAGGGTATATGCTTTCATGCGTAGTCTCTCCTTAGTTCCTGCCATAGCCTTGTAAATGACCTTTATTAAGCTGAATTTTACAGCTGAATAGTGATTCAGACTTGGCAGTGGCTTGCCAGGGGCTCCAAATGAGTGAGTCAGGACTCACATTGGAGTCCACATCTGTTTTACACCCATCTGTACTTTTCTTCATGACATTTAGCAACATAACTGGATCTTCTGTTTTGAGTAGAAACACTACTCTTTAAACAGTATTGTCAAACACTTCTGAGAAACAGAATGTTTATCTTCATCTCATTACACATTTAGCACTGCCAAAAAAATTAATGAAGGCAAGTCTATGAAAGATAAAGTTCATTTTACTTTCCTCTGCCAACTCTACCCCTAATTATCTTTTAAATTTGGTCTAATTAAAAAAAATTTGGTCTAATTATTTAACATAAATATACACACACAGATATGCATGTGTGTGTGTATATATATATATATATATATATATATATATATATATATAATGCCAGGCACATAACAAGTTTGCAATAAATATTACTTTTCTTTCTAAATATAGACTTTTAGTTTCAAAAAACAAAATAAAATGCAAGCAAAAAATTAAACAAACTCTAGGAAATGAAATTTTAAGAGGATTAAAAATTAGGCTTGCTGGGGCTGGGGATTTAGCTCAGTGGTACCATGCCTGCCTGGCAAGTGTAAGGTCCTGAGTTCCATTCTTGGTACTGGGGAAAAAATGAGATTTGCAAAAGCTTATAGATAAAAGACTAATAAAATTTAAATTCTCAGTAAAAATTTTAAATAGAAAATTCAGTGTTGTTGAATGAAACAATATCCAAGTTCTTACCTAACTTCACAACTGATTACCAACAAGTAAACCTCAGTGGTAATCGCTGATAGGAATTCTATCTGTCCATAACGATGGATAAATTTTTTTTTTTTGGTACCGAGGATCAAACTTGGGTCCTTGCACTTGAGCAGCAGGTGGCGAAACCACTGAGCTAAATCCCCGGCCCCATGATGGATAAAATTTAAGAGCACTTCATGCAGGAAATGAGGAAACCAGTTGTCCCCAATCATGCTTCTCTTGCCTTCACCCTGTGCTTATTCAGCCTACATGTGGCTCTCCGTGTGTCCACCCCTAACAGGCATTTTGGAATCAATGTGCTGGAAACGGTGCCTGAATTCTGCATCTCCCATGGTGACCAAAATCACTCTCCCAGGCCCTAGCTCAGCTTAGCATCCCCCAGGACTCCCCTTCTGCTTCATCTTGCCCCCCGCAACCCGCATCCCATCCTCCTGTGACTTCCCTGACTTCTCATCCATCTCCACAGCCACACCTGCAGGCCAGGCCCTACCAGGTTCTTTCTTAGCCAATTTCTGCATTTTCACACCTTGGCTCAGCCCTTCTGTCTCTCTGCTATGGTCTGCAGTGAGTGGGTAAAGCAGATGGCCTATATTCAAACTCCAGAGAGGTTCTCCTTCTGGTGAGTGGAAATTATAACACCTCCATCATGGGATTGTGAGGAGAAAACAAACAAGTTATATGTATAAGGTTTCTCAGTACTTACTGAATTGGGCAGAAAGTACCAAGAAAGTCTCCCCTACTTATCCAGCTTTATTTCCTATTTATCCCATAAGCGCAAGTGTCTTACAATAAAAATGGATGACTCATTTCTCTTGAAACAGAGCCCACATGTCCATCTTTCATCCACCATGTTCTTCACACAGCCTGGAATACCAGCTGACCTCTGACTCCCATAATTATACTATGAGCCTCCCTAGTAACTTCTAGAATGTAATTGGCTGACATTCGGGAAGAGCTTTGGGCATTATCCTGCCTGGGCTGAGTTCAGCTGGTCTTGGGAAGGTTCTGTCACATGTTTGAGGTTGGATAAATGTAGATAGGTCTTGGATGGCCTCTGCTGGGTCACCTGGGCTCTCTTCCACACACACTCCTTTCCCCAGCAGGCTGGCCTTGGCCATCCTCACAGGGAAGGGAAGCTTCAAGGTTTCCTGAGGCCTGAAATTGAAACCACTTCCTCATCACATCCACCACATTCTATTGGCCACTGTAGCTGGCCAGGCTAGGCTGGATTCAAGGGACAGGAAACAGATTTAGCCTCCTGATGGATGACCCATAGAGTTACTTTACAGAGGGCCTGGTGAGGTGTGAGTGAAGCGTTGGAGCCATTTTTATAGCATACCATGTAGAACAGGCAGGACTCCTGCCTTTGAGGCAAATTAAATTAGAATCTGACAGACAGTGCAATAGGGAAATGGAGTGATGCATGGCTTGCTGCCAGTCCACCTTGGCAGATGATACAAATTCTTTATGACTCAGTTTCCTCACTGTTTCATGGGTGCTCATGAGGGTTGGATGAGTTAGCATTCATGGGGTGCTTAGAGCACAACCTGGAATATGAATTGACATTTTATGAGGCAGGTAAATGAGTCCTGTGTTCGAGTTTCTGTCAAGGAGCCATGTGCCTTTGAGCAATTTAATTTCCCTCTCCTGATCTCAGTTTCCTAATTTATAATGGGCTCTCTGAGGCCCTTTTTATATTGTTGTAATGACAAAATTGATCACTTGAACATTTTTTAAGTGTGTCTGGTTTGGGGGAATCAAGGGCACTCGCACCATTGTGCAGTCCTCTCCACAGCCTGTCCCTCCTCCAGGGCTTTTCCATTTTCCCAAACCCAGACTCTGTCTCCACTACTCAGTGACTGCCCTGGTAACCATGGGTCTGTTTTCTGTCTCCTGAGTTTGACTCCTCAACACATTTTACAGAAGTGGACTGAGGCGATGTTTGTCTTTTTGTGTCTGGTTTATGTAATTCAGCATAATGTCTTCAAGGTTCATCCATGTCATAGGATTCTATCAGTATTTCCTTTCCTTTTAAGGCTGAGTGATATTCCTTTGTCTGTACAGATCATATTTTATCAATTCGTCCCTGCATAGGTATTGCCTTGTTTCTGCCTTTTGGTTGTTTCGAATACCTGCAAATACCCATTTGTGTCTCTGCTTTCAGTTCTCTTGGTTATAGTCTCAGGAGTGGATCTAAGGTTCTTTTAAGTATAAAGTATTTGTGACTATTGGTAAAGAAAAGCAAATTATCAAATCCAAAATTCTCCCTTTCTCCTACCCTAGTTTTTAACATTTCACCTAAAGCTGTTTGCTATAACTGCCTTTCCTCTCTGTCCCCTTAATAGCTGACAGGTAACTTTTTCTCTGCTTCTCTCAGAAGGCATTGTAGTCACCGGGCAGCTCTTCTCTCTCCCACACTAGGCCTGTCATCCTTGGAGGGCAGGTGCTTGACAAGTGCGAGTGACGGAAGCAAAGTTTCCCATTGCCACAGTGTGCCACCGAAACTTCTCCTGAAATGCAGTTTGTTTAGTCATCCAGCACAGAGCAGCTCCCGAGGGCTGTACTTGACAGCCTCTCACATCTGTGAGGTCCATTCCTTCTTGAGGATAGCTGCAGAGAAGGATTCTGACTACTGTCTTTCCTTCCTGTGGGTTTTAGAGAAGTTCTTAGTCCTTCAGCAAAGACCTGGGCTTCTCCACAGCTGTCCGGATCCGTCTGACATGGGCTGGCAGAGAGGCACAATGCACACCACACAGTACTCAGCAAGTGCTCATTAGGATTATC